AATATGTACAGCTTCCCAGAAATAATGCGGAATAAACATCCGTGTGCAGTAAGTACTGCCTGAGAAGTGAAACCCCGTGAGCTCGCCAGGTAGGAGGTGGGTAGAGAGGGAAATGCTTTGCCCTCGTTTGAAATAGTCTGAATGGATTTGGGTTACGAGTTTAATAACTTGATGTGCAAAACCAGTAGGATTTCAGTGTACAGCGCAACACAAGAGTCACCGTGATTACAGATCATTGATTTGGTTTGGGTTTTTTTTACCAGAAAGGGAGAATGTGTGAAGAGAGAAAGTAACCAAAAAAGTGCCTTATTTTAAAGAAAAAAGCAAAAAGCCTAACAACCCTTTAAAAAGCTTTCAGAAATAGTTAGAAGGAAATTCGATTATTAGGAGCTAACATTTTTTTCCACGGGAGGATGTTAAAGATATTCAGCTGATGATGTTTTTCAGACATAAAGCTTTAATTTGTTCATCTGCTGCACTCTCTTTCTAGTTCCTCATTGAACCCTTTCAGTGTAATAGTTAACAGGTATTCTTTTTGTTGTGTTTCATATCCTTTCCAATCTGCTGCTCACCACGTTCTCTGCCCTCTGATAAAGGACTGTATGGTGTAAATCAACATGATCTTTTCTGTGTGAACAGTGCAAAGTGGTCTGTTCAGCTGTAGTCTTTGACAAGATGTAAAAAGTCTTTTCCATACCTAAATTTAATACCCTCTGCAGTGGAAAGTGGGAAGCAGAAAATAGTTCTTGTTCAGGCAGTGTCTGAAATGTGCTGGTCAGTACTCAGATGTACTGCTCAGTCTGTGGCTGAGAAATCATTGGCATGAGAAAGTTTCTGTTCCCTTTGATATTAGTGGGAATGGGAACATGAAGATCCTTTGGTGTGCTTTGAAAAATTTCTTGTTTGTAAGATTAAAAAAGAATTGCCCACACATCTTTTTATTAACTGAACTCGTAACTCCAAACACAGCGTCTTTGCCTTGACCTTTCTTCAGTACTGTTGTCTGGTGGAGCCTTCCTCTAGGACCCCAGCGTTAAGTGACGGCCCATTGCTGGTTTTTGCTCCCCGTGTTTCTCAAGGATTGATCTCAGCAGTGAGAACATTTACAGCAGAAAACAAGATTTTTTGAGGCCAGATTTGATCATAGATTTCAAAATTGCCGAGTGTATGTGATTTTGGGTGAGAACCAAGTGAAGGTCACCATCACAGGAAGACTAGCAAGAGATGATAGCCAGTCCTTGCCTGTCTGTTGCTTTATGAGATGTCTCAGGTCATGGAGGATAAACTGAGAAGTTAGGTGTAGGTTACTCTATATAAAGAGCCATTTTAAAAAAGGAACAGTATATTTTTTTCTGTTATTTAATCAGGATTAAAATGAAAGTTTTTACTTAGAGAACAGTTTGTGTGTTCTTGGATATGTCATACCCCAATTTTTTTTTTTTCTTCAATGCTTATTTGTTTTGTGCTAATAGCACCTTAAAACTTAACCGTTTACGATTAGCAAAGTACATTTGACAGTCTTCTGTGGAAGTTTTTTCCTTAGTTACCAAGATAAACTGTCTGTTCATGTGTCACAGCTGAAAAAAAAAAAAACATAAAAATAATATGTCTAAAGTCTTGTGTTTTGCCAGCTGGATTAGAGTGCCCTGCCATTATGGGACAATAATCATATGTTTCAACTCTTGCCTATTACTAGGAAATGAGAAAGGAACGAAACAACCTTGGCCTTTCCAGTATCATGCGTCTTGTATTTCCACAATTTCCTAATTACAAGAAGCTTTTTGTTGACATTCAAAGGACAGCCATTTTAAGATGAGGAGCTCATACTTGATATGTGGCAGGAGAAGGAGCTCTGGCTATTGCATGTTAAAGCTTTTGTTATTCTTCCATGCCTGAGACGGGCATTTTGCACCGTGACAAGATTTTGAAATCATTGACTGAATTTCCAACGTTTTGTGCTACAAGCTTCATCCCTTCAAAGGCAGGAAGGCTGGAGGGATCGGACTGTCTTCCTCCCCTCTTCATCCAGCAACACTCCCGTACTTGATGCAGGCCAGCTCTCGTCTTCTTCTGAGCAACACCATACACCAACAGATGTATTTTTCATTATATATTAGTAGTTAATCCAGCCCACAGATGGCGTACGCCTTTTAGCTGTAGCTGTGCAAGTTTTGCACACTCCCAAACCTTCTAAAGCCATTGCCTGGGGCCCCTGCAGTTGTTGTATGTACAATACTTTGTCTCTTTGCTGCCATCATCTGTGCCCATCTGTTAGGATGGCCTCATGCCAGATTATATTTTAGGCGGATCTTTCCAAATAGGCCTGGATAGTGAGTTTGTATGTTTAATATGCTCTGGATGGCAACATGCCATGTCTTGGACAGATCTTCTGTGCACGTCGTCGTTGCTCAAAGGCATTGGGGTAGGGCCACATTCAGTTCAGTTGCATTTGTAGACACCTCCATCCAAATGCTGAGACTACTGTGTCTGCTAATTTGATGGTAAAGAAGATTGTTTCAAAGAATGGGAAAAAGGTGGGATTTTCAGAAGTTGCAGTCATGTGAGCAAATTACATCAGATGGGCATTTGGGACAATTGGGAGGGGGCGTTTCGTCTATGGAAATACGAGACAGGGGCACCCAGTTGGATCAGGCACAGGATGAGTACTTGCCTGCCTCTTGCAATCCTCGCAATTGATATGTGTGTTGATTGGTGAACCATGAGTTGGTGAGTAGAAGATGCTGCTACCTAACTGTAAGGCTCTCAGCTGAAGGAAGAGGAAGCATTTTGGTCCAGGGACCCATGCTTATGCTTTGCAGGTCTATGCTCCTCTGTTTTGGTGCAAGGCTGTCCATTTTACTTAGGAAGATGATTTTTCCTTTCAACAAAGTAGCTAGAACAGGTGATCCCGTGCTAGAACAGATGTGGTCAGACCAGTGCAACACATTCTTTATTCGAACGGCAGTCGTTTGCTCTAACAGAAGCGCGCTTCCTACATCTCAGTAGGAAGAGTTGTATTGCTTTAGTTATGCTAGCTGACTCTGCCAGTGTGTTAGTACAGGTAACGTAGGAGTATTGTGCAAGTGCAAGTTAATTGAGTGAAACCTTGGGCATCTGCTTTCACTCTGGGTAAGTCCCACATGTATCAACGCTTTCTCCTTTTTGCAACCTCATCAGTAGCCTTTCCTTTATGTCTGTCTATATGGTGTGTTATTTTTCACTGTTCTTTAAGTCCAAGACTGTGACAACCATGGATTAACTACCTTGTTGCGTTATTTCTAAAGCATTACACTCCATAGCACTTAATACCCAAACCCTTGTCGTTACTCTCCCACAGGCTGAGAATTTGTCTCTGAGTGAGCTCAGCTATTCCCTTTTTCTCTGATCAGCTGGAACCTCCATTCAGACATGCTCATGTATTCAGGACAGCATGGTTTTGCTTTACGGTAATCAAGAGGAGGTTAAGGGGGGAAGGATTGGTTTGTAGCCCAGAGACCTAATTTGGAGTCATTCGGAAGAGAGACTGTGCCAGAAAGCTTTTGGTTCTTGAATACAGATTAGTTCTTCAGGAATTGATCCAAAATGTCGGAAAAATTGCATGTCAGGCAGGGGAGAACTCCCCATTTTTGCTTTGTTTTTCACTGAAGGTCTTAACGATGTCCCTTAAGAAAGCAACTAAGCAAGAAAAACAACAACACTTCGAAGAAGCGATTTCTCTTGGGGCATACTTCTTGAGGAAAAAATACTTAATTAAATCCTAAAGCCATTATGTACTTGCATTTTTAAACCTGCAGTATAGGTTTGGCTGGCAACCGCATTAATAACCCAGTAAGTCATTGCTATGATATTAACGGTATTATACCAAATGTGCTCATTGGCATGGTTTACTGAGACCCAGTTGGTGTTTTTTTGTTGTTGCTGTTGCTGCCAGTCAATACTGAAATCTTTTGTTAATTAAAAGAACAAATTTTTATTTCTCGCAGTTTTTTTAACCCAAATGCTTTTGCCCTTCATACAGAAGTAACAGGCTTTGATCTGCAAATACTGTATTTCAGCTGTGCATCTGGAGCTCATTTCTTGTTGAAGCTTTTCAGAGCATCGTTCTAGGGCTGCAGCTTTTAGAGTAGGGGGATATTTTTCTGAGATGAAAGCTTAGGCTCAAGAGTGACTTTTACCAAATTAGAAGGTCACGGTTATTAAACATAAAAAGCAGCGGTGGAGATTGCTAGTTTATAAATGCTGCTACTCAGAATGATAGAGCTTCTGTATAAAGCTGAGAAAAGCTAGTCTGAGGCATAATCAAACCAGGAAAGCAAAATCCGCACTTTTTTTTGTCTACATGAGAGGTTTAAGTGTTCTCTTTTATAACTGCTTTAGATTTGTGCTTCAAATGTAATTGATTTTTTTCATGCCTTGGGACAAATCAGCATCCTGTTAAATAACAAAACTTATCTGTTCCTAAAACCTGGTCCTGGGTGTGTGAGGAGAAGGCTTGGACATCTAGAAAAACCCACCTGACCATGCCAGGTTCTGTTTGGAAGCACTGCGGCTTGGTGGTTGCCGTGGCTGTTCATGAAATGGTGTTTTTTTCACATTGACTTCTGTGGTCAGTCTCACCCTGAGAGGTCCTGAGCACTTCCAGTCCCACCGGAGCGTGTCCCTTGCTTTAAAGTACTGGTCTGTCCTGAATACTGGCACCCAGCGTGTTTTTCCAGGTGCTACAGGTTCCTTGGCTTTTGGGCTGTCAGCTCCATGCCAGCCGTTGTGTGTGGTGTGGTGGGGAGGTGGGGATATGGCATTCACCTAACCCACAGCCTACAAATTCCCTTGTGTTTTTTTTTTTTTTTTTTTTTTTTTTTTTCCCAGAAAAAACCCCCCGGGAAACACTGATGATTTTTGCGG